AGTTTGCAAAGTGTATGTTTTTTTTTCAGCTTGTTACACTGCAAGAAATATCTAAATTCCCTAAACATTGTCTGCAATTTTGATATTATTCACATGTCAAGTGATGCTTTGCGGATGTTTGACCATGAATTGTGTGTTGGGTGCATTTCGCTCTCCTTAAATCTCCAATTCCAAGACAAAAAGCAGCTCAATCTGAGATATGTGCAAAAATATTTTTTGTTTGCAGAAAAATATGCCTGCATTTTTAGCTCAATAACTCAGTCTGCTGCGCTATTTACAGGCCCAAAAAAACACTGTGAGCAAATCAAGATGGACGCTCTGACTACCCATCATTCATCAGTGCTACTTTCACCATATGGATTCTGACACTGCTGCCATATCATGTGTCAACTTTTGCCATTACAACACTCTGTAAGAACTTTCTGTTTTTATATACTGAAATCCAATCTTCAGAAAAGAAAAACCCCACTGCCGCACAAAGCATAGATACAAACACGCCACTTACATGCCTGTAGAAAATACTGTAAATCACAGGTAAGATTTCATATGCCTGTATATTCCGATTGGCCGTTTCCAGGGCTCCTGTGCTTTGCTCTAAAGCAGATTATAGAAGCCTCCCTACATGGACACAACTTCTGGAATAGCAACTGCTATTTGATCTGACTGCACACTCTCCGGACTCTCCACTTACGTGGATCCTCATACAGGTGCTCTCTGCAAGCAGCGACAGAAAGAGCTGCAGTGTGATTACTAGTACTATTATATTTGATGCTTTGTAGATAATGAAAATATCATATTAATAGAGAGACGTTTACTTAAAAAAGAGATAATAATGTTGGTGTTTACCTCTGTAATCCGGTATCTGACTGTGCCACTAGATCAGCTTAAATGGTGAACTTAAATGTTAGATCCCAATGAGTTTTTCTCAGTTGTGTGTATTTGTCATCTTCTTGTCTTGCAAACTCTACAGTGTTTTTCTGCTTCTCCGCTGAAAGAAACATTGGGAGCGCTACAAAGGATATATGTTGTCTTCACAGTGCGTGGTATCACCTGAGTGAGTGAATCATGAGACGGACTCGAGATTCGTGACTCCCAGATGCATTGTGGGAATGAGGCACACATGGGACTTACAAGTCAGTGAAGCAAATCTAAGAAATGTCTGCAGTAATGCTGTAAGAGAAGCAAGATGGAAGGATGGTAATTACTCTCTTACTTTTTCTTTCATTTAAATAAAAACATATTTTGTTCTCTATTAAAATATATGTCCCTGCCCTGATGTCGACTACCAGTTAGACATCAGACATCAAGAAAGACATCATTGTTTTAGTTATTTTGTCAAGTAAAACAAGACTTTGTGAATAGAGATAAAAAGGGAATTTGTTATGTCAAAGTTTTATGTGTTTCTAGCCGTTGTTCATTTGGGGGTAAAAAGAGCAAAAACATCAACACAATCAGCCCTCCTGGGGTAAACAGAAGAGGATCAGTGGCTTTGCTATTGTTTGGTGCTTCATTTGACGATAGATCAATAACTCGGACAGCAGGCCGAGGAGTTCTGAGTGCAAAATAAGATTAAATGAGAACAGATTTGATCGTGCATCACCCCGGCTACCACAAAGGGAAATTACATTAGCCTGAGTGGATACTCTGTGAGTATCACATGGGTAGAATTAAATATCACTTAAAGATGATGCTAATTACTCATTTTGACTGCTAACAATTATTTACTTCAGACATGCCGTGTAAAAGCCCGATGTTAAATGTTATTAGATGCATTTTGCCGGTAGAGAGAAATAACAACCAAGATCGATGGGAAATCTTAACTCTGCAAAAATCGGTCCGAGAGGTTTTATGAACTCCTTATTAATCTGGATTATGACAATTAACATTTACAAGGATTTACATGAAAGGACAACAAGCCACCAGATCAAAATAATATGTTTTGAAATGTTTGTTTGATTAATCTAATGAAAGTCTCCATTTGATTTGTTCCATCTTAAAATACAATATTTATACAAAAAGTATTGATAAAATGTCTAATTTAATTAATGATAATAGTATGAAGAAGAAATTATGTTTTGAGCATTTTTCTGAGAAAAATAAAAGTTACAGTTCTTTGTAAAAAAAAAAAAAAAAAAGAATTTATGTAAACAGCAATAATGATTTAAGGTCTCCTATTATTTTGTTTAAACATAAAACTATCTCTATTTGTGCTTCGGTCTATGTATATGCGCTCTTAGCTTTCGCCATTTTAATAGTCTGGCTGAGCCATTAAGACAGTTGATAACTCTGTAATGGATATTTTTAGGTTATTGCGGGAACAAGCTATACCAAGCAGCAAGACGTTCACTTAGTCACATAACAGCTGAACTCCTAAACAATGTGAAACAGAAGACGGCTTCAGTCACTGTGGTGAACTCATCTGGTGTGTTGACATTTTGCTCCATCAGTTTGATTCACAACACAAATTCACTAAAAGAATCCAACGTAAAGGGTCCAAACAGACAGTCGGGATTCAGATCGACCAGTGCGCTGAGAGTTGATCAGAACAGCTATTGATCGGGCTTCAGAACATCACTTTTGCTGCAGATGAGGGTTAGACGTCAGTAAGCTCTGAGGGTTCTTGAACTTTTTTTATTGGTCGAAGCTTAAAAATCAGTCTGATAAACCTTGTTGTTTCTCGGACTGCACCTGCTTTGAGTGAACACGACTGCTGAGATGAGATGCAGTCAGCTCTAATCACCGCGTCCCTCCATCTTTTTCCCCATTGATTTCTCACATGATTTTTGACAACTCCTATTAAGCCGAGGCCCTTGTCCAAAACAAGTGGTGAATCATGTGCTTCTCAACCTAAAACAGACACTTCATGGGGAGGGGGAAGCCAAACTGATCCACAAGTCAGACGTCAGCATGAATTGGACACGCGTTTATGTCATTTCTAATGTCTGGTATTGAATTCAACATCACTGTGTGTTGACAAACACTTTACTGCCTCGTCAAATGCTGGTCGGCTTCTTTTTTCTCTTTTTTTTCCCACTGAATTTAAAGGAGAGCAGAGACAACAGGTGCTGGAAGGCTTTCCTTTCATATTCATTACACTGCAAAATGATGCACTTGCTATATTTACAGGCTGATATCAGCGCCTTGAGCTGGATTTTACATGCCGAGAAGTGCCGTGGAGTACCATGACTTGTTCACCTGAGAGGTCACTGGGGAAACACAGAGAGCTCTGCTATTGAGATTTCACTAAGGAACATTCAAAGCCAATTGTAATACAATGACAGAGCTTATGACAACATATTTCAATAACTGCAGAGTGTCGAAGTGTTTGACTGCGATAGAAGTAAAAGTAAAAGTTGAAGGGAAGAAGGAGTAGGGGGCGGAGAGAGGGAAGTTGGAGCCAAGCAAGTTGAAAAAGTATTTTTAGGATGATGTTTATTTGGAGGTCGGTGAAACCAACCCCAGGTCTATATACCACCATCTGTTGAGGTCTCTCAGCCTGTCACTGTGCTCGGTGGACATGGACAGAAACGTTTTGTAGATTCGTTGCAGTCAAAGTCATTTGAACTTGCCTGCTTGCTGTTAAAATGCCTTTTAAAAATTCAAATCCTTTCGTTTATGTCGGAAAAATTAGATTGCGGCACCAGCACAGCTTAATGGTAAGAAGCAGCTTTGTGGACGTGCCTTACATTGAAATAGAAAAAGTCTGTCCTATTCGTCTTTGAAACAAACAAAACAGCTGTTTCAAGGACAAAAAAAAAGGAATGAATAAAGGTTTAATGTTTTTATGTGTGACTGGAACTCTAAATACTGCCACTAAATTTTGTATTTAATTTTGAAACTTTATGAGAAATTGTTCAGCAATTAGCACAACAAAGTCAGGCAGTTTTGGACAGTTGCAAAATTTGTAATCACACAAATTTATAAGAGAATACGATCAGCGGAGAAGTCATCCAAATTGTGTTAAGAGGTTTGAACTGTGTTTACTTACAGTCCCATTATAAATTGTATCCATTACAACTGCATAAATGAGCAGTAAAAATATGCAAAGATGAGTCCTAAATCATCTCTTGGATATGCCAATTCATTCTAATTAGTTTAGATATAAGTACATATTTTTTTATTTAGGTCCACAAATACAGAAAAAAAACCCATTCCTAACTAATGATTTAAACTTAAAAGTGAGTTACCCCACAATCAGTTCCATCTAAAACAACTTTATTTATCCCAGAGGGGAATTAAATTCAAGTGCTGCCTATGCAATGCAGCTACTTTTGAAATTTGTGTCCATCACTTTAAAATGCTGGCTCATTCATCGGGAGTAATTAAATTTTATATAAAACTCTTCTGCATCAGGAGTTTTTATAACATAGTTATGTTCTCTAGGCAATAGCCTAGAGAAGTTGCAGCACCACTCTGAAACTGCATACCTTAATAATTATGGTATGTGTAATAAAAAGATGATCAAATCTGTTTTTAATTATCCTTGATTTAACCGACTATTCTCTTTTCAAGCTCAGCATGTCGACTAACTATGTCGTAGCTGGACACCGAACCTAATGTTGGAATGAAACCACTTTGAACACAGCAGTTATGAATTTTTTATAACAAGGTGATATTTGTCAAGACCGTCCAGGGCTGTTAATGAGATAAACCCTAATGGCATTTCCTGACCCATGAGTAATGATTTACTGAAAAGCTATTTTCAGCTCGGACTCCAGGAATTGTTGGGTGGAACAAGGATCTGGGCCCTCCTACAAGAATCCCGCCATCGAACGCGGTGGTTAGCTAGCAAGCGGAAGACGCAGCAACAAGCTAGCAAACAAGACACTGACATTAAATTAAAAATAACTAAAAAAAAAAAACAGTTTAAAATACTGGGGAAAGTATTGTATAAACTGAATAAAGATGTACTTACTGGCTGTGCTTTCGTTCAGATTGTCAGAAGGAGCTGCTAGCTCATTACACACACCTGTGAGATGACGCAAGGCCGTCAAATTGCCATGGTGATAGGTTACTGAGCGCCGGAGCTAGCTTCGTCTGGCTAACAATATCGAGGTAAAAATTACGCTTTTTTAAATAAACTTGTAGGGTATTGTATATTGCCTACATAGCTCGTTTTAATTACTTTACTTCCAAATACGCAAGTACTGCAAATACTTCTACTTTTGGGAGCCGTTTTATTTTTCCAATACGACTTTAGTTTGCTTCTTTTGTTTTGTTGTTGAACTGATTTGTTAAAAGTGTCAAAGGTTAACGTGTAATTTTCCCGGTTGAGACTTAAATGTCTGCCAAAGTAAAAAAAAAAAAAAAAAATGGGAGGGTGGGTATTAAATTTAGTCAGTCTGCAAGGCACTGTGGGGTAACTGAAAGACAACACTGAGAAGGTTCCACAGCCTAAAATATCTGCCCACGCAGCTTCCAGCAGGGTTAGTGCCAGGTGTGGAGACACCAAAGGCACAGCTGAGTCATCTTATATGTTGAAAAGTTCATTATTATAACCAGGCTGGTGATTTTAAAGCAGACGCCATTCAGAATGATAAAACACACAGAGATGCCTCTCGGTGACATGTGAGCGTGAAGCGCACGGGCGAATCTGTGCGCAATTACGCACGCCACCACAGGCTACAGTCCGCTGCTGCAGAGGCGGCTCATCCAACCCTACCTTCCTCTGCTGCTTCTCCCAGGCAGGGTCCAGCAGCAGGTCCCTGTCCCAGTCCTCCTCCTGGGTCATATACGCATCTTCATGTTGGATCGTATAGGAGGTGTTATATGTAATTTGGGTTTCGACAGCTGTCATCGTTCCGCCTCTGTCAGGACTTCGTAAGTCCCCGTCAGCTTATAGTGACAAAAAAAAAAAATTAAGATCAGCTCGAGAGACGTCGAGGGGAGAGGCAGTTAGGGGCTGCGGAGACCAGACTCCTCTGGTGAGAGGTGGCTGTGCGAAGGTGGTGCCCACTAACAAAGACCCTGCAGGCCGGTGCTCCTTTCCTGGTCAAAAGTAGCACACGTGACAGCACCCCAATAAGTATGGGTCCTTACAGCTTGGGTGTCAAGTTCTGAGCCTAAAAAGGCCTAAAAGGCGGAGTAAAACTTTGCAATTGGGGATAACTGGTCTGTGAGTGGTCTGGCTTTCTGTCAATTAAACCTCCTCTCAACATTGGGCTGGGGGTGAGGGGGTTATGGCCTGTGTAATGCACCTGTCGCTGTTAGTGATCCTCAATGGTAAACTCAAGCCTCTTTAGCGTCAAACTTTTTAAAATGCAACATCACCAAAAAAAAAACAAAAAAAAAAAACACTGAATATGGAATTTTCTTTGAATACAAAAATTAGATGAAGTTATGAGGACAGTTCCTCATTTTGTGAAATAGTAGCAAAGGTACTCTAACTCCATGAACTGTTTCATGTTACTGCAACAACAACTTACATTATGCATCTTGTGATAAAAAAAAAAAAAGAGCATGATGCTGCCTCCACCTTGTTTCAACCTGGGGACGGTGAGCGTCAGTTTTTCACCACATGTTGTGATTTGCTTGAAGTTAGGTTTGGTCTAACGTAAAAAATAAAATATTCCAAACTGAGCTTTAAAATCCACATCCACAGTTGCCATAGCTCTCATACCCAGGCTGCTAGTTTAAGTGACCAACCACATTTGGACTTGTGATGTACTTTTAATTTTCAGAAGACAGGAAACAACCCTTTGATGTAAAACTTGAAATCCTGTTTTGTAATCTACATGTACTCTTCACTTAACCACCTGTTGTTTTGATTGATTGTCATGCGTTTGCTTGCGCCCTAATGTTCTCAAACATCCAATCACTTCACAGCTGGATTCAAATTTGTACTGAGACTAGATTATACAAGTGAACCCTGTTTAGTAATTAGGTGAATTTGGTTGGAATTTTTGTTCCCTTAATGATAGAAAAAAAAAGATCAATTACAAATTTCTTCTGTTAAGAAAAATGTGAAAACCACTTTTCATTCCACTTCACAACTATCTACTATTTTTGCTAGTTTATCAGTTACATATTCCTCACAGCAGCTCTAAAGTCATTTTAGGAGCTAAAATTACATTCACACAATTTATTTTTCAGCTACATCCTAATGATGTAGCTGAAAAATAATAACAGATCTGGACACTGTTTTGAGAAAAAAAAAGTTTATTCATAAATTGCATGCAAAAACAACAAAAGAAATACACTTTAAAAGGCATATATATGAATACACAACCATACAATATAACTTGTATCTATATCAGGATTTGTCATTCACAGTAAACATGTTGATGCAACTTTCTGATCTAACATTTGGGAATTGAAATCCCCTAACATTCGGTTTTGTGCTAACGCTAATTGCTTCGAAATGAGCGTATCCACATTCCTACCCTCTTGAGATAGCAAATTACTAAGTCACCCTTTACATCTTTGGAATCTAGAGTGATTTAGAAAGTAATTAATCAAACATCTGATGTAACTACAGTAAGCTTGGTCCATTAACCTACTTTAGGAAGCTCAGTGGTTACATTACTGTTCCTCTCGTGAGGCTGAGAACGGTTGAAACGAGTGATCTGACCGATGTAAACATGTTGAGTTTTCATCATAAAATAGCTTGTGTAAAACTCGCTAGACTTTTCAGTTATTTGCTTTTAATTGTTCATTGAGCGACATCAAAAAATGTAAATAATACTTGCAGCTATGATCTGTAAAATCTACACCGCTTCCTGTCAAGTCCGCCCTCTGGATGAAAAAAAAAAATTACAAACGTCTGAGGTTTGCCACTGCAGTTATGTACATCAGTCCTTTCCCGTTCAAATTTGAGCTGAAAAAGTCACATCAATTTAAAAGAAAAAAGTTTTAATAGCGGACTGGGGTCTATGAAGGGACAATAGTGCCATATACAAATTAATTAATTAAAAGAATGTATAATAAAGTATTCAAATTGGAAATACTGGAATTAATACTGAAGTTCTGCAGCACATCACAAATACAGTTCATCATTGGTCAGAGGGCGGGGCTAACACTTCTCTAGTTAAAGGTGATTGGTCTGAACAACAGTCTCATTTGCAGATCAACCAATTAGAGTTCATGGTGTTAATGAGAGTATTAAAGGAGGACTGGAGCTATGGAAAATTACTAAATGAAATCTGTATAATTTTAACATACACCAACATTAAAGTGTAATCAATGAGGTTCACATTTAATATCTAAAAATCAATGTTTAATATAAAAATACTAGTACAATAGTAAATATTTAAGTCATACATGGAACACATTATGTGCTTATTAAATGTATTTATTTAATAATATCAAATTAACTAGATTGTGGCACTTTTGGCCCTTCATAGGACTGGCTTGAAAAAACAAACTTGAACCAGTTTGCACTTAGCTGGATTTCCCATATACTATCCCCTGCAGGAGGACAAACATGACCTTCAGGATCCCACTGAAAACAACGAACTGACACGTGCGTAATATGCACATGCACTTTTTTTTAGCTAAAACAACAACAGACAAAGACGTGGACGGGGGGAGAGGGAGTCTGGGTGTGGGAGTAGGTTGGCAGAGGCTGCAGTGAGCTTTGGTGGGCGATGCAGTGCAACTGATTTACAAGCAGGGTTTTCTTTTTTCTTTTCTTTTCTAGAGATGCAGAACTGCATTTACCCAAGCATGATTGAAGGCCCAGACTCACAAGCACCAGAAGAAGCCTTTTGAGCGGAGCTGGGAGAGTGAAGAAGAAGGTATGGAGGCGCCAGTGGGGAGAGAGGAGGTTGGGACGGAGGCCCTACTCTGGTTTAGGTTTATTACAATAAAACTGGCCTGTGTACACGATCTGTGTACGAAAATAGATTTTTAACCTTTTTATTGTTCTATATGATCCACACCCTCAAAACTAAACCAAGAACTCACCTCATAATCAACCCATCAAATTTTCAAATATGTTGTGCTTTCTTGCTTGTTAGGCATAAAGGATGCGTCACTCCCATCCAGAAACTCTTTGGGAAAATGCGAGACAAGTTAACTGAAACCTCATCCAGAGGTTGATCTAAAAAATAAGTAAGTACACACACAAGCTACAAAGACAACGTGTCACAGAAAAGTCCTATAGGAACCCTGAGATTGATGAGAATCTGCAGGTCAGTCTGGCCTGTGCGCCTTTCCTATAGGACGTTTCTGATTGACAACTGTCAATCTTCTGTTTCAAGTTGCTTTACATTACACGTTGCCTTCACATCCCCTGCCAGAGCCATGTTATGGACAACCAACATTCAACAGTTGTAGCAAAGCAATTCCTCGAGCTCTGAAGTCTCTCTGTGTCACAGGACAAAGTCCAAAGGAGGGCCGCCTCAAATACATAGTCCTTTTTGGCACGCCAGGGCATCTATGGTAACAAAGGTGGATGGCGGGGAGGGAGGTGTTTTGGGTCAGGTGGGTGATTCTGGGAAGTTGAGTCCAAGCCAGAGCGATGGAACCCAGATCCAAGGAGGCGGCGGTGCCGGCGGGTAAAAAAACAAAAAGCGCTGTGTGTGTGGACGGCGGAGAGGTGAGGAGATGCGCAAAGAGGGAGAGCAGGGCGGGGGTGAGAGAGGGAGAGGGGGAGGAGGAAGGAAGGAAGAGTGAAGAGGGTTGAGGGCGGCGAATACGGCGGGGGACAGGAGTTGATTAGCTGGCAAGGGGAAGGGTTTGGGGTGTGTCCACTTACGCCAAGCCTCATTGACCAATGAAATGGCGCCCAAAAAGTATCCCGTTTTTTGTGTGTGTTCTTTTAGCACCCACACTCACACTCAAGCATACCCCGACACATCGCACTTATTGTTCACCAGCTCACACAAACCGAACATAGGGCACCTCAATATGCTGATGCAGGACTGGATCAGTCATAAGAAGGGGTCGTAACCCTGCCCCACCCCAGCCGGCCCATCACTCCCAGTGAGAAGACCCAGGCTACAGGTACAAACACTGCCGATGCAGTAGAAGAGAGATTGCGGACTTTGGGGAGGGGTGGAGGAGGTGGTAATGGCGGAGGGAAGGAAGAGGGGTAGGAGTGTTGTGTCAAGCCACAGTCAAAGGAAAGTGAGGAGGGGGATGGGGCAATTAGGGAGAAGAGATGTCAGTGCTGTCATGATTTCTTTCTTTTGCATTTAGTCGATTTACCTTGGTGGTGAAGAGAAAGAGAGACAACAAGTTTCCACTGCGGTGGCGTCGCGCTAAAAGTCGTCCCCATGGCTCACGCGAGGCAGCACACAGGGTGTTCCAGGTAGCATGGTGACCTAATTCAGTTGAGATAGTTAGTTCAGAGCTGGACTGTCGAGTTGGGCTGCTTTTTTTTTTCTCTTGCGGCACAGTTACAGATTATCACACATGCAGGTCTGAGAGCATAGTGAACACAGAGACACACGGAAAAGGGAGAATTTGGTGCAGCAAGGAGAGAGACCAGACTTGGACCAGACCAGACGCACACCCATCAAACCCCAAGAAAGGGACTGCTCCACAGATCAAAATGCACCCAGGCCATTCTATCTGTGAGCCTCTCCCCAGCCCTCACACCAGCTTCACTGTGTACAATGCAATCTTATGCATGGAGATCAATTTTAGGTGCCGCTCTCATCGCTCTAAATTTGGGATATTCTCATTTGAGAGGCTGGAGAGAGGAAGGAGCTCCTACCCGGACTTACCCTGACCAAAGTGAGCAAAGCTGGGCCAGCATCTACACCTGCCTCCCCCTGGGTCCCCAGTCAAATGGGTCTGGTGGTCATTTTTACACAAGAGAGACATAATGGAGAGGAACATAAACAGGAAGAAGGCGAAATGTCCAAACCCTTTGCTTTCCGTCACCACAATAGTCAGCCAAACATTCTTTATTATCAGTATAAGGTTTAAAATATACATTTTCTCAATAAAAGGCATGCTGATTTTTTCACTGTTCTATATAAAAAGAAGGCTAAATTAAAAATACTGTTCTAGAAAATACAAGGCAAACAAAACATTTTGCAAACCACATAATTCTACAAAGGATGCAACTGGTATGTGTTTATATATACGACACGGAAAGATTACACTGAGATGCAAAAGTCACTTATAACCACTAAAAACCACAGAAGGAGCGGGGAAGTGGGAAACAATGAGGCAGTCGGGTGATTTCAGAAGGTCTTTTCTGTTTGTGCATTGGTCTTTTGTCAAATACTAGCTACAAAACAAATGACTGATTGTAAATGTATGGATGTCGCCACTCTGGACTTTGTCATCAATGTGAAACGCATCAAGAAATCCAATTCCAGATTTAGAAAACAAAAAAATATATAAAATAAATCAGTATCCAAATAATTCATAAACCCTCTCTACAGTGCCTTGCAAACATACTGCATACTACTAAAATATTTTCACGTTTTGTCACTTTCAACCACTAACTTCAGTGTAATTTATTGGGCTTTCCTGCGATAGATCAACACAACGTAGAGCATTATTTGTGAAGTGGAAGGATAGGATTTGTGTAAAAATAAAAATGTGAGCATTTGTAATCAACCAGGTGTCCAGCTAAAGGTTTTTTTTGTTTGTTTGTTTGTTTTTTACTTCCAACAAGTTACCGATATTGCAGCTTTGAGTATTGGCTGCTACGGGTATGATACAGTATCAGCACGAATCAAACATACGTTAGTGTGGAATGTTAGAAAAGGTTTGATATTACTCAGAGAAGAAAATAGTGAAGAACAATTAATATGAGAACAACTGACCGATTTATTATTAACCAACAGGTTTGGATGAAGGATTTTTGGTAGATGTCAATATGGAATCAGGACACTCCTATATTCAACCACATTCGCTTTCATAACTCTTCATAAAACCCAGCACAGAAGTCTGGTCATCAGTAAACAACTGTTTGATTTAATCCCAGCATCTCTGTAAAAAGAATATAACACGACTGAAAAACCTGTCTATCTTAACTGCCAGAAGAGGAAACCACCGATCTGCAAGCAGCCAAGAGGCAATTGGCTATTGCGGAGGAGCTGCATAGCGCCGCAGCTCAGATAGGAAAATCTGTCGATAAAACAATTATTAGACAAATCTGTTTGATAAGGAAGAAGGTCAAAAAGAAAGCCAGAATGCGTCCAGTTTGCAGTTTGTAAGAAGCCATGCAAGGAACACAGCAAACACGAGGAGGAAAGTGCTCCGATCATACGAGACCAAAATGTCCGATTTTGGCCTAATGCTGTGCATGGGGAAAAATACTAAACGAAAGTACATCACCCTGAACATACCATTCTTACAGAGTAACATGGTGGTGTCAGCATCATGCTGTGGCCATGCTTTTGTCCAGTCAAGACAGGGAAGCTAATTAGAGTTGACAGAATGGCGCTAAATACAGGGCAATCCTAGAACACTAGATCAAAGCATATTCATGTCTTACACTGACCAGACCAACATTTAAATGAGCATCTGTGGCAATCTTCATTCTACTTCACAATTATGTGCTGCAATTTATCAGCTCAATTTCAGTTAATGCATTAACACTCACGGTTTTAAAGTGACAACATTGCAAGAGGTAGAAATGCTTATTTTTGCAAGGAACTGCAGATGACTTGACAAGTGAACTAGAAACATACTCAAATATGATTTTTAAATCAGAATCTAAAGCAGATCTGGCGTTTGATGGAGAAATGGCGGGTATTTTGGGGCCACTGGAAGACACTGCCCCATCTCTCACTTCGTTGGTGCTATCACTGCTGTTTCTGCTTAAAACCAAAGGCTTATATAATGAACCTCTGAGGCTCACTTTGTGGCTTTTCTAAAAAAAAAAAAACCGTTTGCAATAAACAGACCCATTAGGAGGTGTGGAAGCTTTACCACTTGTAGCCCTCTGGATTCTGAGCTTTGAGGCTCCTGTTGCTTTAGTTGAAATGATTAAAAAAAAAAAAAAAAAAAAAGCACTTAAAATGGGAGATCCCTCCACTTAATGCACTTCACTAAAGGCTTTGAGGCACATGACTGACCTTGTCAGATATAATGGTTTCTAAAAGGATGCAATCCAAAGCTCTTCTGTAAACTTGTTCAGTAGTTACGCATTGTTTTTCTTGTTGAAAACTCATCACATCCCATACGCTCACTTATATCACAGGTAAACTATAATGTTGGAAACAAACTCTTAACACTTTTTTCTGTGTTTTAAAAGGCCTCTGAACATGAAAGAGGACCAAATACAATACATAAGAAAAACAAAAACAAAATCCAGCTACCCAGACTTTGAACTGATGTAGCTTTACATGGAGCTGCAATTGCTGATAGGGTGAAATGTGTGGAGACGTACAGAATAGAATACAATCTACAATGAAATTTACAATAAGAGGTAGGCAGCTGTCGTTAGGAAGAGGAAAAGGTGAAGCAGTGTCTTTCAGTGTCGTAGTTTAAAGGTGAGGATGAGACTCAAGAGGAAGGGGGCGAGGATAGATATGAATGAACATTACAGTACGTCTATGTGTGCTTTACGTTTATTGTTTTTTTTTTTCTCTGCAAAGCGCAGTCTTAGCTGCTGCCGCTGCGTTTGTGCGCTGCAAAATCAAGAGCCCCCACGTCTCACGCAATCACACGTACAACATCCATATCCCATCCAGGACAAGCAATCTCCCCAAAATACTTTAACCTTGGTTCTGTTGGACACAGTACAATGCAGCTGGTACACAACAAGTGTACATTTCATCTAAGAACATTACAAATTGGTACTCGTCAACATAAGGCAAAAAAGGTTTCAAATTAGCTGCCCTATCTGATCATCTAGGCCTAAGTAGAATGGCTGATGTAAATTACTGGAGATTTGGCCCTAGAAAATCATAACTGGGTTGCAGAAATAAAGGCAAAAGAAACGACTGACTCAGTCAGTCTAATACTGGCACAAGTGTGAGACTGGCACGATAAGTTAAAACAGAAAAGCACACAGAATGCCCATAAAAATAGATGAAGGCCTGTCTTCAAAGCTGCACTGTGGTCATGCAAACTGGACCAAGGTTAGCCGATCAGCCCAGTCGTAAAGCAAGTTATTAAGCCCAACAGCCCTCAGTTTTATATCCCCCAGCCAGTCCCCAGGCACACAAACACACACACTCGCATACACACAGAGGTGGTCAAGTTTTGAGTGGAAAAGGTATGTAGGGGTGAGGGATCAGGGCAAAGAGGGAGAGGGGGCAGGGGCAGACAGTTGAGTGCAACTATCGGAAGGGGGGCTCAGGCGTGTGAAGGGAGAGTTCGGGGCGGTGGAGGATGGCCTCCTTGCGCGTAGGCGGCGGCAACGGCGGCTCATACACCCTGGGCGCAGCCATGGCAGCTGCCACTGCGGCAGCAGTGGGGACCACTGGCCTGAGGGCTTCCAGCGTAGCGACTGGCTGGGCAGACATCGCGGGGACTCCCGTGACTCCAGGCATGCCAGCAATGGCTGCCACTGTGTTCGATGGGTAGGCATACTGGAACTGAGGGTACTGCTGCAACTGCTGGTAGTACTCGGCGTAGTACCTAGCCCAAAAAAGGGTGAAAATCAAGAGGCATAGGTTGCATTAAGGAGAAGAGGACATAGGTAGCAGAGCAGACACAGAAGGCTGAGGTCAAAGGCCCTGACATACTTCATCCGAAGTGCCGAAATCGGCTGTCATTGACGTCGACGCCTGACAAAAATTGCGTCGTTTGTTCGCAAAGAGACATTCGCCCGCCGAACCCGGTGACAGGCCTGGGTCGAACTATTTTGACAGAGCTCTGTGCAAAGTCTTGTAAGGTAAGTAAGGTAAGATAATTTTATTTACATAGCACATTTTCAGCAACAAGGCAATTCATATGCTTTACATGAGTTAGAGGAAATACAAACAAAATAACAAAAGAAAAGCAAGAGAATAAAAGTATAAAAAGTTTACAAAAAAAAAAAAAAGACTTGTGTGATTGGCCAGAAGTTTGTTGCCATGTTTTATGCGGAAATTGGTTCCGACAGCGCTGTTTATGTACATTGGTACGATTCTTCACTAAATAACTACTAGAATGGAAAATGGTTAATAACTCCTATGAGGAAATTATACTGTCGTTGTTCAAGGAGGAGGCTGTCTGGAGAAAAGTGTGGCACTAGCTCCGTAGGAGTGAGACACTGAAGCGTGCGGGGTCTGCCCCCAGGTGGTCGGTGCCGTTGTCTGAAAGGTGTGTGCGAATATGAAGGCGCTGAAACCACATGACTGTCGACTGTTCGGCTTCGGATGAAGTATGCGGTCCTTTAATCATCAACAGTCATGTCCCACCTGGCCATCTGGTCTTCTGGTGCCTCTACCGCCTCTTCTGCGGCACGGCCAGCTGGTGTCGGAAGCAAGGGTCTGCGTGGCTTGGCCCGCTGGTATATGAATGGCTTCATAACCGGGTCTGGCAGAAGTGGTGTCGACCTGCGTAAAGGACTACGGTCTCTCTCTCCTGACTTGGCCACAGCGGCTGCCACAGCAGCTGTCTGCTGATCAGCCACAACCTGCTGGCCTTGGGCAAAGTAGTGAGCCTGCCTTGCAGCCTCAAACAGGGCTGAGGCTGGATCTGCTGCTCCCATGGCGCTGATGTGAGCGTAGGCTGGGGTGGCAGCACCATAAATCGCAGGGGCTACAGAGTAAGCAGGGTTCACTGTAGCTGCTGCTGCTGGCATCTCTATTCCTGGAGCAGCTGCCAAGTACACAGGGTGGTTGGCTACAGTCGGGGTGTAAACTTGAGTTGTGTAAGCAGCAGCCGCCGCTGCAGCAGCAGCAGCTGGAGATGCAGCCACCTGGCCATAGATATTGGGGGTCACTGAGGTGTACACCTGTGTGGCGCCTGATGTAAGAGTTGCCTGGCTCGCCACGGTCCCATAGAGCTGGTTGGCCACGTTAGCACCATACACCTGGCTGGCAAGGGCGCCGTAGACAGCCGGATTCACCGGGTTTCCATCAGTACGTGTGCCAGTGGTGATTCCTGTGAGAGCTGCGTACGTGGGGTCAAAGGTGGACGTGTTGTAGACTGAATTGTGCACGCTCTGTTGAACTTGCAGAGGCAGGCCGGCAGCTGCGGCGGCAGCAGCGGCCAGGACTGCAGCCTGGCTCTGGTACTGCTCTAAAGACGGCTTGCCCACAGGACATTCTCCAGCATAATGGCCCTGCTTCCCGCAGTTAACGCATGGGATTTTCCCCGTGGGTGTCTGCTTGCTGGGTTGGACCTTGGATAGCTCTACAGACAGCGGTCGGCCCTTAAACGAAGTACCGTGCAAAGCCTCAATGGCCTGAAGAGCGTCTTCCTTGTTTTCCATGTGAACGAAGGCATAGCCTGTGGAAAACAATCATCGTTAGGCACAGCAAAGGTGTTTGGGTTTATACTGCAATGGAAAAGGAATATAGATATTGTTTAAAATATTACTACAGGAGCTGAGAAAACATGAGCTTAAAAATCCGAGAAGTCAACATCTACAAAAACATTAAAGTACTAAAATGCCTAATTAGTAGTTTAACTTCAATAAAGAAATAAAGTCTCCTCTCCTAAATACTTTTATCTCCCGTCTCTTTAAAGTGCACATCTAAAAGGCCAACTTCACCCTGACTAGTCAGATAATTGGTTATAAATAATATAATATCAAGTCTAATTATATGTTCATGCTAAACTACCAGGGCTTTAAAGAAAATACTGTCTTGGGGATTTAAAGATTGAACAACGGATATGGTATCCTGCCATAAAACGGTACAGACCATAAAACGGTAAAGTCACTAAGGATCTTAGTGACTTTATCTTTAGTCACTAAGATAAAGTATATCTTCTTATTACATCAAACGACCATACACTGAGAATCAACGAGAGCATTCCCTTCAAAGGCCGTTAAGGTGTGTTAATGCTATATTTGCTTCAAAATGACATGTTATAAGCTCCAGCTTGTGGGACTGTGACAATGGCCTCAACAAACTCTCTACAGCATGGTGGCCATCTCCAGTCTTCAAGAAATGGCCCTGCTCTAGACTAGTTCTACAGAAACGAGAGATGTACTGCTTACAGAAATCATAGGCAACCTGCAACTTATTAGTTCCTGTACCATGAAATGGACAAACACATCAGTTCTTTGGAAGGGAAACCCAAACTTTCAAATTTATAAAATAATGTTCTGAGACATGAGAGAAAGGAAGAAATAAACTTCCAAAGGAATATTTTTAAATATATCAAACTATTAACAACCAAATGTGGTACATGTACAAATTGATGGAAGATAAATCACAATACCTGCAAGGTATTTTGCTCACCTTTGACTTTGTCACACTCAAGGACTTTCCCGAATGTCTGGAACAGCTGCTTGAGGTCCTCAGTGGTGCACATCCCACTCAGATTACCCACAAACACTTTTGTGGAGTGCAACGGCCTCCCCCTCGACTCCTCCACCACCAGATTCCGTCCTCGAAACTCTCTCCCATTGAGCTCCCGAATGGCTCGATCGGCGGCTCCATCGCCCTGCAGGTGAACAAAGGCGAACTGTCGCAGCACGCTGCAGCTGACAACCTGGCCATACGGTTCAAAAATGGCTGACAGCTCTTCCTGGGTGCTGTCCAGAGCCAGGTTTCCCACAAAAAGCTTCACTGTGTGGCTCTTGTCCATAGCGCTGCAGAGAAACGGAGGGATGACGTTACTGATGTTAGGAATAGAACAACTGGTATAAATTGCACAGGAACAGCTACATCCTACAGACGCAAGTCCTACATTTTCTGCTGCTTTATCACTTCTTCTACACACGCACTGTGATTTTTAGGAAAGCACTTCAAAGTTAAGATTAATAACTTTAATAACTGGTTGTTTTTAAGATGACCTAGTCTGGACATTAAATTTTTTTTTTTGAAGAGTCTCACTTTACGCATGCACACTATTGCTTTTAACCCTTCAACATTTTGTAGGAATGTACGTTGGTTTTGGTACACATATTGTACAAATGGTGCGTGATTTTCAATAATTTGCTATATGAAAATGAGACACGTGTCTCCAATAATAAAAATACAGGATACTGTTTTTATCAGTTTATATTTGTTATTTAGACTGCTTTTTGATCAAAGCCATAATCAACTTATTTCTGTCTAATACAAAATATTTAAAAAATCTTCAACGAAAAGGAAATCATATGATTTTCAAGCAGTTTATAATATTTTTCTCAATTATTCATAATAAAAGACTTGAACAGGTAGATAAACTGATATGCATGGTTTAATGGGCATGAACTGGTTAGCTAAAAAGGTCCAAAATGGCAGTTCTGGATGACCAAAACATGGTACTCCGTTTCCCTTTGCTTCTACTTTTTCCATTAAACCAAAACTTCAAAAGGTAAAGAAATTGATAACAAAATCATTTTTAGCCTGGTGGTCAATACAGAGACTGGAATTAAATATGCATCAATCCAATAGGTTGATTTCAGGTTTTTTTTATTTTTAAACCAAAAAGGCCTTTTATTTTACCATCTCATTTGTGTGGCTACAATAGCACACTTCTGTGTGACAATATTGAGTACATGCCAACAAGATATTTAGTCTCACTTCAATGTCCTCATCATAAATGATAGTGTCCAAGATACTAAAAGTCACTGAGATTGTTGGAAGAAACACTATCCCAATCCAAAGTCCTAATATTGCACAGCTCTATGATTAGTAGTTATTTTCTAAAGTAAAAGATAAAGCTGCTCTGTTTGTGAGTAACAGCTCAGATTAACATACAAGGACATGACTAATGGTTTTGTTCAATTGCAATTCAATTCAGAAGAATAGACCTGGCCCAAAAGCAGCCAGGTCTACAAGCTAAGATCTCGGCCAATTAAAATCACATTTAGATCCTTTTAAAACTGAAGTCTCACTGTATTAAAACTAAACTGAAAGACTGACTAAAACTCTTAAATGAACAACTTTGTTAATCCAATCAGACTAACTTAAATGTTTAGCGTAAATCCGAAAAATTAACACATGGTCTCCCTTTTAGCAACGAATGATTAAAATTAATATTCAAATTTACCCCAAAAAAAATAAACAAACAGAACCACGTCGACCACATACACACCTTTGAAAGTCCCACAGATATAGAGTCAAATATAGAGCTGGGGAGATTTTCCTCTTGTTTTAAAAAGAGACCTGATTTGAAAGCTGGTCTCTTTATTTAAGAGCAGGCTGATCACCCCCACAGCTATGAGTCACACTCATCCACTGAACACAGACAGGCAAACAGAGGCTGGAGTTCAGGAAGGCCAGTGTTTATTAAGTCTGCCTGGATTCACTGTAATAACCACTTTTATGGCACCAAATTGTGATTATGCTTTCAGCGTTGCCTTTAATGTACAAAACCCCAATTTACACCAAAACAGATGGTTGAACAGGCCCATTTTCTTCTCTCTCCAAACAACCTTTTATGGTTGGCTGTGAATCAAAGGCCAAAGCGGAACGTGAAACCAGAGGGGGGGAACATTTCTATTTTCTGGTTTCGCCTCTTGTAAGTCGCAGCTCGACAAAAGAAACGCACGTCTTCCTCCAAACGACAGCGGCACAATGGCCGCTGCGTGAAACACTGGCTGCTTCGCTGTGGAGTGACCGGGGCAGAACCTGGTTCCTGGTGACGCAGCGCCACGCCGAGTGAACACATTTTCACTGCTGCCGTCACTATTCAACGACAACAACAAAAAAGGAGTAGAAAAAGCCGCATGTTGAGTGTGTTTAGCTGGCTCCGGCGCCTTGCGGTCGAGGTTTCCCTGTGAACGGGGCAGCAGCGGCGGAGCGGCGGGGATGCTGCTGCTGGGCTCGTCTCAAGCTAAACCAGCGGTAAAAAAAAAAAGAAAATGTCAACGCGTTGAACGACGCGTTCCCGCACATTTAGCCCGCCTCACACAGCAACGAAAGCCGAATAAACGCCTAATATCAGCTGAGGCGGCGGCCTTTCTAAAATATATCAACGTAGTCGAGACCAATCGCGTTTTTTCCCCCTCCGCTCAGGAGCGCGTGCATTGCAGCACGAGAGCTCCGCGAGCGACAACACGGCCGGAGAAAGCCCGGTCCTAAACCGGCATTTCCGAGTAAAACGTATGTTATTCGACACCATTTGGGTTTGCTGGCCGCCCACGGGGCTTTGCGTGGGGATAACACGACCGAAAAATGCAGTTAAAGCCGAAGGAGCTACCATCTTACCTTAGCGGTGCTGTGTTTCAAAATGGTAGCGTCTGCTTCCGTTTGAACGTCGGGCATACTGCTGGAGAAGCTGCGGAGGGGGAGGGCTTGCTGCTGCTGCTGCACCCGGAGGATGCTGAATCCTCGCGAAATCACCCAAGAACACACACAGAGCTCCTGGAAGCATGCTTAGTTAATTACAGCTACCGCAGTGGAAGAGGATGGCTCACCGCCACTGTGCTGGGCTCCAAGGAGAGCAACAAGTGGGGAGAAGATATGAGCAAAAATAGACTTTTGATCACGTGCAAAAGGCTCTGCTTTTTTTCCACAGTGTAGTTCATCTAAAGTTTACACATGAAATCGAACTTTGACATCAAAAACACTCTAGGTTGTTTTTAAGGAAGTAAAATTATATAGTAGCCATGAACCAACACAAAGTAATGCAATGTGAAGTTGTTTCTTCAGCCTCTATGCGCCACAAATCTGGAACAAACTTCCAGAAAACTGCAAAACAGATGAAACACCGAGCTCCTTTTAATCAAACACAAACTTTAACAACTGTTAATGCTTTGTCAATTGTTGACTGTATGTTTTTTTATGATATAAAAGCACTTTAAACTGTCTTGTTGCTGAAAAGTGCTATACAAATTAACTTTGTTGATTTGCATTTGATTTTCTGATATGTTCACCAGAACCAATAACATCTGATTAGTAGTGATTCATTGATATGAAAATTTGGGCCGATTTTAATACCCGATACTGCTGTTATGTCCCATATATTTCATATAGGCTACATTTCCCTACCCGATCGACACCGTATAAAAAAAAAAAAAACAACCACGCCACCTTTTGAAAGCATCCAAAAAGAATGCTTTAGAGTAAAGCACTTTGATGTGCTAGGAAGGCCTAGTCAAAGTCTAAAACTAAATAAGATGGGAGAATCTGTGGCAAAGCTTGAAAACTAATCCGATCTGCATGAACTTGCACTATTTTGCAATAAAGAATGGACAATATGCAACACCAAGGTGTAACTTAACAACATGCTTGTAGAATTAGCCCACAGTAAACAAAATAAATGATAAAAAACTGTTTTCCATGGTTTGTGGGGCTGAATTAAGATTTACTTCACATGTTCAGATTTTTATTTGTACAATGTCATGAAAACAATGTATTCTTTTCCTTCCAATCCACAGAAATAGTTTGTGAACATGGAAAAAGGATATGAATAGTTCTGATATTTTTGGATGACATTGCAGCTCAGAAACCAATAGAGAGAAAAAATAAAAGAGAGAGCGATTTAACATTTTGGAGGGCATCTATCAGCCCGTTCAGGCATCAGCAGAACAAGACAAATGCTCAATTAGTAAAAAGATCAATGTCAATTTTTCCTACACGCACTCACATGGCCAACAACACATCACACACCATCATGTCCTGATATGGATTTTTTTAATCAAGTAAAAATATATACCGACAGTAATCAGGTTGTAGTTTGGTTATCATAATACATTCATTTGTCAAAGAAAATATCACAAGAAAAGAGAAATGGGAATGTCACTTGAGTTTTATGGCCTTTATGCAGCAGCAGTAAAGAAACTCCGTACTGAATGCTGGAAGAACAGAAAGAAAAAAAAAACTGCTGAGAGCGCAGTCCCTAAAGGCCTTCCTCTCTCAATTAGCCCCTTTTGCCCTTTCAATCTGGAGACTTCCTCCTGCTGCCCCTTTAATCTCCGACTCCAGCCACTCGCATCGCCCTTGCGGATTTAAACTGAACAGATTAAGACGCAAAACGGGTCCGCTCCAAATGCAGTCAGTGTTCCAGATTCGAATCTCTTCAGCAAAACTCACACAACTGAACATGCTATGAGAACAGGTATATGTCTAATGCTGGAGCTGAAGGAAGGTCTGCAGGACAGTGGTTTTTTTTCTATGCTTCAGGAGGTTTTCCTAATCCACCTTTTACAAAATAACAGCATTAAAACACCAACAAGTATAATGTTTGCCACACCTGCCCTTGTGCCTTAGAAGCAATCAGAGGACGGCACGATTACTGCAATTTCAAGACTTTTATAAATCACTTTCCAAGTGCTGAGTCTTCTTTCCGGGTTCTGACCTGCTGTCAACAAAATGTCCCGTCTGTGCCTCTGCGGACACGAATTCCTGCATCCGAACGCCAGCCGGTACGTTTTGGTGAAGATTCAGAGGTGTGCCGCCGGCGTCTCTGGGTTTATCTTGCTCCGACCTTTCCCGGCAACCGGCCGGTCTCTCTCCTCCCACAGCGTGACCCCGTCGCACGCGCAGATCTTTTTGGGATTCTGGAAAAGGCCCGCCGATCTGGCGATGATCCCACAGGCCAGCCTGCGAACGTCACAGAAGTGACAGAGAAAATTTCAGGAATGGAAGATAAAAGATTAACTTAATGTGCAACAAACTGTCAAACGTAAATAATCGCAAATCCATGTTGCTTTGTTTGTTAAACAAAGTTACAGTCTTTCAAATCAGAGTTGGTTTTTGACGCCAGAAACGCTTCCAGTAACAACCCAAACTCATCCACGTCACCACTGTTTTTAGGTATTCTTTTTTTACACATATATATTTTAAACAGCATTGAGTTTATTCTGGCGCGCCAACTTTTCATCCGTCTTGAACCGAAAACTCCAAAAATTGCAAAATACAAGGATGGGGCACAGGCGAGACAGAGAGGAAATCAGGTAAATATCTGTCGTCATCGCAGTGTTCACCAAAATGATGAGCAGGTCAACAGATGAAGGTGGAAGCAAAACAAAAAGATATTTATTTTCAGTATGGTTTTTTTTTCTAACAATCAAAACTGTACCCATTTATGTATTTAATGACAAAATAAAAAAAGTCAGTCTGTCAACAAAAGGAAAACGCCGTCACTTTAATCTAGATTACAGAAATAGATGATGGCATCTCACCCTCTTTTAGTGAAAACCTAGACTTTTTTAACAAATGATGCATAAAAAAAAAACTTCCTGACAGATCTGGCAAAATTAGTTTCATCCACAGCGAGTCTTTCAAGTTTGTAATCAAAGATCATTTGTGGACATGAACAAAATGATTTAAACTAGTCTCCATCATCAGGTTAGTGAGTGTGCAGAAAATCCACTCTAGATAAACTTCATTTACGTGCTAGAAGGGAAATCAATATATATTTTTTAAATTGTTTTGATTTGGACCAGAATTCTTCAATTTTAAGAGGGTCATGCGGGACGTAACGCCAATCCAATCCCACACGCTGCGGCTGTGCCTGGCACTTTTTCTCTTTGTTTTAGTGGCTTCTGCTTCCCGACTTCCTCTCCCATCTCCTTCTCCTGTCCCTCCGCATCCATCTCTGCCTTCTCACTCCTTCTCCGGCTGCCATTATCCTGCCCCTCATTTACAACATTCTCAACTTCCTAATGTGCTACCCGACAGAAATGATGATAAACGTCAAAATTCAACTTAAGAAAAGTGCTAAACCACACAGAAAGTCATTTACTGACTTTATCTGAGTTGGTGAGGGGAAAAAAATCGAATGAAACGAATGTAATGAAGAAATGTGAGCCTTTTTCTGAGGACTTGTTTTATATAACTTATGCACATATGGGTCAACATTGCTGATAGGCTGCTTTTTTGTGAAAACACAAAACACACGATGTGCCAAGCTTGGGACACTAGAGTGATGTAGGTGGTGTTTGCTAACCTGATGTAGTCCTGTTGGTTGGTGAAACGTTATCTGCTCTCATAGCGCATATAACGTTCCCTCCACATTTCCTGTTTTATTTAGTCTTTCTTATGGCTAACATTGAATCGCAGATGCTAACGTCTTTCGGAATAAAAATGACTTCGATAACACCAAAAATCTAGTAAAAATAGTCAATTGCCTTTAAGCAGAGCAGGTCAGTAGTGCTACTTGTTTGGTTGATGACTAAGCAACAAGTTAAAATGTTTCTGCTGCTCTGTCCACCTCTCCAAACATTTCACGCATCGGTCTGATCTTCAAAGTACGAACCCGTCACCAGAGTTTCCGGTCAGCTTGGAGAGAGGATGACCGCCTCGACCCAGGTCGTCTTCCCCGGAGTCCACAACCAGGGATCGACCAATCACGTCCCACACCTACAAGACAAAAGGTGAGCTGATAAGCGCCGCGTGCTGCCGATGTCAAATATGTCATGTTTGCTCCTGGGTTACCTTCAGCTGTCTGTCCTCCAATCTGAATGAAGCTCGGCCATCTGGCCCGGCCACTACGTTCCCCAAATCACCTACATGCTGCAAAGACACGCAGAGCGCGTAAGAAGATTTAAACAGATGACAAAGTGGAAATCACACTATGTGCATCTGTAGAAATATAACGCAGGCTGTCATTGTCTGATATTAAAGAGTGTCGATTACAAGCATTTATTTGTGATAAAAATGCACAAACAAACCTTTTTCCCCACATTGTTATGCACACTAAGGACAAAGGGCTAAAGCAAAGATACGTAATGGAGCCAGAATCCTCCTCACTTTGCTGAATTCACAATCTACAACAGAACAGCAGTTTGAGAAAACTACACCGCGTTTGCTGTGTTCCAGGAAGGATCCAATCAATATGTGGAAACTTTTTCCTATTATTGTTTCAAAACTTCATTTCAACCCGCTCTGCCCCAGGGGGACATGAAGCGCGTCCCCGAATCCACTTATAAAGAGGAAGGATTACACAGCGAGTCCGTTTAGGAAGCCTGGGAGGGAAAATAAATAAATAAGTAAAACAGGAGGGAAAAAAGAAAGTTGGCAAATTGATTGTACCCTTTCAGAGTCCCCCGGACCTCCATGCTGTTTTCCAAATGGGTTGTAGTGCTCTCCACAGCTGCAGAGAAAGGACAAACTCAGTTTAATCGGATGAGGAGAATAAAACCTCTTATATGCCGTAAAACCCCTTGTTGGAGGCTTACGCTATTTTGTTTTGAGGAAGAAAAAAAATTTGTAAAATTGGATATGTCACCAATCTTTTTATTCATTTCCACAGCTATTTTTTTTTCATCCTGGGACAAACTGCAGGAACAAGAGATTACCTCCGTACAAGACATCACTGCATGGATTTAAGGTGATGGAGATGCAATATACCACAGAATAACTTCAGAAAACGTCTCAAAGTCTTCTTTACGACTCAAATCTCAACTTGGCACAGAGCTGTGAAACTTCGCCCGGAGGCTCGGTTAATTTTCTTGATCAAATTTACCAACTCAAATCATAACATCAAATAAATAAAAGGATTGCAGATTTCTTCATGGGATTGCTGTTTGTTTATATATATATATATATATATATATATATATATATATATATATATATATATATATTTCATTTTATAAAAAAAAATCATCTTTAAATATCTCCCTTGGATCAAGTCACATCAGTCATCTGTAGAAATCTGTTGCTCAGTGGGGGGTGCTTTCGCCTGACAGGTCGTCAATGAGCCGGCGCTCCCACCTGAGGCAGTCCTGTGTGAGGTCCCCCAGCGTGTGGACGTGCAGACCGTGGGGCCCGGGCTTCAGGCCGTCGATGGTCCCGTCGATCAGGCAGTCTTCTTCGGACAGCTGCAAGAAACGCACCACGCCCTGAATCGAGCCAGCGCCAGACAGCATGGCCACGGCTGCACCCAGATCTGTTAAACACACACATATCGAATTGGTTGTCGCAGCTGATTTATTGTTGATCTTTTTCTCTTTTAAACAGAGCCTCTTAAGTTTAAATAAGTCACATTTCTATAAAGCTCAGACTTGCGGTGGAAAACATGTTTTTTCAAATGTTTTTCACTTTGCTGTTATCTGTGAATGATCATTAGAAATCGTTTGTCTACAAACTTCTTTAGCCATCCAGTCAAAGAGGATGAAAAGTCAGATCCAGGTCTATTTTCATCTTAAGCACATCCTCACTGGAAGCCAAATATACAAAAGTAATCTGCTAATCTGCATTTAAAATACGTTGTAACAATAATAGTGATACATTTTTAAGAGATTTGACACAAATTACAGCACACAAGTCTGCACTATTAAACACTTCCATATATATCATGACATTAATGTGCATTTCTGTCTTTGGTCTTTGCAAACATCCCACTCGTAATTAGCCCTCGCCTCCCTAGTGTTTGACATACTTTTATCATTATTATTGTTATGAAAGTACTGTGGAAAATAACTTGACTCAAACACAGGCGACATTTCAGTTTTCAAGCAAGACTCGTCTTAGAAATGCCACTGAGACCGCAGACGTCATGGCAGCATGTGACAAAGCAGCCAGAGTCTTTCTCTGCAGTTCATAGATAAAAGTAGAATCAATTCCAAATGCGCTCCAGCAGAGGAGTGGACTAACACTTCCTATTGGATCAAAAGTTAGAGTAAAAATAAAGGAGCTGATAAAGATGTGGGTACAATAAGACACCAACAACGAAAGAGCAGTGGTGAGATCAAAGTCCAGACCTTATGGCTGCAGTAAAAGTCTTTACTTTTTTCCGTTGTTGGGCTTTTGGCGCGATATAATCCTGACTGAGCTGCTGCTTATCGTGCATCACTCGTTTGGATCATAGAATCATTTTTGCATTTTCTTTCAGTCTGAATCCTCGCAGGATTTCAGTGCTTTGAACTCACAGCATCAAAACTCTTGGATTGTTTGAAAAATACACCACTGACAATAACTTAGGTTAATATTGACATACTGGCGCTTCAGTTAAATTATTTAGCGAGACCACCTCTGTGGACATTTGTAGCAATTTTTCTCTTTTTTTTTTTCCAGATTTTTTTTTTCTCCTCCTCCTCCGTTCTCACCTTGCTCTGATCCGCCAATGCCCTTCAGCACGGCCCGGCGCCCCGTACTCTCGATGAGAGACTGAACCTCTGTGCTGGTGAGCGCAGTCTCAACCAGGACCTCCTCTTTACTGAGATCGATGCTGACTGACTTCACTCCTGCGAAACACACAGCACTCCATCAAAAACGTTACAACAACTGCTACATATTTGCAGTATGTTTAATCATTTAAATTGAATGCTGTTGTCATTTAATACAGTCTATACACATTGGACAGTGTGTCGTACAGCTAAAACCTGTCAAGAAACACAGTAAGAATTTTTTGCTGCAATTTGCATTCCAGCTGCTTAAATGGCGATTGCGCCAATGGGCAGTCAGCTCGACTTTTTGAAATGCTTTTTAGTTGCTGTTGAGGGATGTAGTTTAAACAATTTTCAATGATAACAAAATATTCAAATTTTATATTATTTTCTCCTCCATTCCTGTTAACGGCAAGGTGATACTTGGAGGCAAAGCTTTGGTCTCACAAAATCTTGTTTGACTCGCTAAAACATTTGCAGACTTGATTAAATTATGCTACTTGTCTGCAAGTTAATGTTTTCTATTTGCCGATAAATAAATGAATCGTGCCTAATTAGCTCATGCAATATTAAATTTTAATGAAACATTTGAAGTAATATTTGTCTTTGCCAATAAGTCAATTACAAATTAATGGCTCAAAGTTGTTTTTGCTTCCAGGAAGAATATTATGTGTCCCTATTATAACAATGATCATGTATTACACATAAACAAAGATGAACTTTTGGCTCAGTGAATGGATTGATTAGCTGACAATTTTTAACCACCACAGAATAAAAACATAAAAATCAATCAAATATATTAGAAAAGTTGAAATTATTATTATTGATTTCGTTTTGGTAATTTGGTAATTTTCACTTTCAATGTAAATTCAAGAACAGAAATTATCCCAGAATTTTTGTCTCATGTCTTCTGTTTTGTTTCGTTTTTTTTTTTGTCAGCATTCAAAATATTTATACCACTTGGAATTGATTTTATTCTTTTGGTTTGGAAATTCAAACATGCTTTGTAAAAAAAAAAAAAAACTTGCATCAAAAACAACACTGGATTCTGGTGCACAAGAAACCAATCGAGCTTTCTTTGAGCACAAAAAGCTAACAGTCACAAACTCTGGAGATGATTGAAATAATAGAATTTCAAAAAATAAAAAAACAGCAGTAAGTTTCACAGTTTGAGCTTCCTCACCTGGTTCAGCCTCCAGAGCGGCTCTAACTTTCTCCGCACAGCTGTCACACGTCATCTGGACTGCAAACTCCAGCTGTGGAGGAGGAACGTAGCAACAGACATTTTTATCTGTACCAGCGGCTGTGTTAGTGTGACGGGAACTCTTATATATCGCAGCTACGCAACACAACGGCACCAACATGGAGACGTTTCATTTCGGCTGCCGTGTTATAAACAAAGACGCGTTTCGTTTTTCAAGTCGTGAATGTTACGAAACAACAGAAGACGAGGGAAAAGAGTGTCGAGCATCGCCGTCGCACCTTGGCCGGTCTTTCCGTGTCCATGTTGCGGACCACCGTCCCCGCCTGAGTGACAACCGCCGAATTGCTCAAAAAAAGGCAGAGTTTTCTGGAAACGGAAATGACCCTACCGGCCAAGCTAGCGGGCGCCGCCATGTTTGTGACGTCAGAGACACGTCTTCGCACGCTGCTGCCACCAGGCGTCGATTCGGTGTTACTGCCAAGATGAGGCGTTTACGGCCGCTACACAAAAATACCGCGGTTTACCACCTTAATGTCTTACGTTAACTCGGACTAAACTTGTTTTGTGTCCGTCAGTGTTATTAGTTTCCCTAATAATAGAAGAGAGATTATTTTTACCACGGTAACACTCACACAAGTTGGGAAAACCCGGATGGTGACGTCATGAGTTTTCAATATAGCAAAGCCTCTAAAGTTTTGCTGACCCTTGGGAGCTGCTTTCAGATGCCTGAAGGCTCCACACTCACATTTCCAAAGAAGAGAACAGGCTTTGTGTCAGAAATGAATACTAGAGCAAAAAAGAAAACAACATTTTTCATAAACATATAAGAACACCTTCTGAAAGGTCATTTCTGATGACCTTTTAGCCATAAAGTTAGTTTGTGCTAATACTTACCTTAATTCTTCAGAATAGACAACTGTGCAAAAAAAAAAAAAAAAACACAAAGAAATTGCTTCAAAGCCTTTGCAAAACCTCCAGACAACCTTTTTCTTCTTCTAAAAGTAAGAAGAGGCTAATATGTGGTAACGGGTTGTTTCTCCTTTGAGGTCTTTACTGGTGGCTTTCTTTCATAGCATTGCATTAAAACGCACATGTGCTCCAGACTAGTCAAATGTTCTAAAAAGACACAAAAAAAAAAGAAAAGAGAAACCCCAAAACAAACCACGTCTCTATAATAGCAGCAACTTTTCCGAGATAATGGTTTATCTTGGAAAATGTGAGCAGATTAGCTGATGATCAGTTAAAATTGCATTTAATTGACAGCACCTACCTGATACTTCCATTTTGAATTCACTTGAAAATAAGGTGTTTTTTTACACACACTGGATATAATTAGATAAATCATAATCCTAACCAGTACATCAATATTCATGATCACAAGTATAAATTGAAAGATTTTAAATTTGCTCTTGTTTTGTTTAAGAAATCCGCCACTAATTAATTCATTTTTGTTTTCTACCTCTTCACATCTTCTGGGGCCTGGCTCACCTCCGTGATTTTATCGATAGAATAATATATGTTCTGCTGAAAGGAGAACAGATCAACTTCATGATTATTTCAAAGAGAATGTTTAATGTAAATAGGGAAGAAATACATCGCTGGCGGAAGAATGAGGAAAATGTCAGCAGACATATCTCTAAGACATATCTCTAAGGGCACACAAATAAAGATACAGATCAGTCTAATCCTGTGTCTCTAGTCTTGCACCATTAGTAAAAGCAGGAAGGAAGTGAATATTTCGCAGCTGGTCATAATATAAACAAAAACCATTCATTGCTGCATCCTCCAAGTTTCCGTCTGCTGAAAAGCGGCACTAGTTTGCATGCCTTTCATCACATGGCTGGAAATATCAAAGACGCCTTTGGATCCGTGCAGAACTGGTTTTTAATCTTCAAAAGGAATGCCTCCAATACATTCATTCGCTTAATTAAAGGAATTCACAGTGAAACGGAGCCGCATCTTAAAATCTCTACTGAGTTAATAGATATTCTGCTGTCACACTCAAAGTTACCGTACAGAGCACTGCAGGTGGAGGCTTCTCTTTCAGTCAGTTTCTTTAGATAAGTCTGCACTATCGGATGCTCCGCATGGAGACACAGGGAAATAGTAAACGTATCTCACATCTCCCCTGTGGGACACGTTCTCCAAGGTTGGAGAAGCGATCCAAAAACTGGACTGAGTGGACAGGAAACTGCTAAAAATCAAGTCAAATGGAATTTATGGAAAGTAAACAAAAACACTGCGGGGGTAGGAAGTTCAGCGGAAAATCACTTAAAATCCAGGACAGGAAGCAATTTAACATATTGACTGGAGGCTCAAATTAAACCCAAAAGACCCAACACAACCAGGAGATACAAGGAGAACTTTACATTAAAAAAAAAACAAAAAAAAAAAAACAAGTCAAACAAACAGTATTACAGAAAGTTGATCAATTCTTAGCATTTTAGATTTATTAAGCGGCTGGTGGAAATTGTATTGGCACATATTGTATTTTGTAACATTGTATATACCTGAAAAAGATGAGTGGAAACAACTCGATTTTGGTCAAAGTTTCACTCATTCAGAAAACCTTTGGGTGTATTGTGAAGTTATAACGTTAA